ATGGATAAGATTTGTGCTCAATACCTTGCCCATGTAATTGTAACCCCTAAGTATGGTATTTTCCCATTAAAAATTTATAGAAGAGTTATTTAGAAAGACAAGAGTGAAAAGACATTAAGAAGAGGGGATAATAGAATTAACTGCAGATTGAAAAGGTGGAACCAAAAATACAGAAGCAAAACTCCAGTTTAAATTGTGATCACAATCACATGTGTCGACCACTGCTAGGAAAATGCACACCAGATCCTTAGTCTTTGAAATAAAAATTATATAATATAAATTATGACAATAGAAGACATAATTACTGTAGATTTAGATCAGACCTTGTGAATACTAAGCACACCTATGTGCTTAATCTTAAGAATGAGTATTTCTCCTACTGTCTTTCACCCTGAAGTCATGCAGAGAATTTCTATTTGGCATTATCAAGATGTTGTAACACTTTAGGGCAAAAATGCATCCCAGGAGGCCCACACTGGAGGCCAAGATAGAGAGGACTTCCACGGCCACCATGATCTTCCCCTTGGCACTGTTGTTGACAGGCAGGAAAGTGAGCCACACACTGCAGAACACCAGCAGCATGCTGAAGGTCAGGAATTTGGCTTCATTGAAGGTATCAGGCAGGTTCCTGGCCACAAAAGCTACAGTGAAGCTGGCCAGGGCCAGGGACCCCAGATATCCCAGGACATAGTAGAAGGCAGTGAGGGAGCCCGTTTTGCACAGAATGATTATGTGGCCATGTTTAGAGTGTATAACTGTGTCCACAAAGGGAGTAGAGGTTCCCAGCTAGAATCCACAGAGAGTCACCTGGATGAGGGTGCAGATGAGGATGATGAAGATAGGAGCCCCTGATACCAGCAGCCACCTCATCCTTTTTCCTGGGGAATTGGCCTTGCAGACCAGGAACACAGTCACTGTTTTGGCCAGCACTGTGGAAACAGCCACAGTGAACACAATCCCAAATGTGATCTGCTGTCTGATGCACGTGACTGTGTTTGGTTGGCCAAGAAAGAGCAAGGAACAGAGGAAACCGAAGATGAGGGAGATCAGCAAGATGTGGCTGAGAGCCCTGTTATTGGCTTTGACAATTGCAGTGTCTTGATATTTCACAAACATTCCAAGAACAGCAGCAGTTAGCAAGGAGAAAGAAAGAGCCATGCTAGCCCAAAGGATCTTCCAAACCCAGGAAACTTGCAGTTTTCAAGAAGCACTGAGTCCTCTGTGTGTTGGCGATACTGGATACTTCACACATTGCTACCTATCTGGTGAGACATGTATACTACCATTACTTTTTCAAATTATCATTACTTTCTTCAAAGATTTTAGGAAATTTTTCACTTAGGGGAAATCCTTCGATGTCAGTATTTAGTATCATAAATACGTCTTTGTATTTTTTCCCTGGCCATAACTGCCTCCCATTTTTATCTTATTCATTCAGACTTTTGTTATTGTCAAGGTGATTGCAGAGTGACTACTATTAAATAAATAAGGTAATAAGTATATTTCTTGTCAAACTTGCTACCTCTTCCTTCATTTTTCTCCTACTTTCCCTCCTCCAAAAAAGCCCCCCTCAAGTTGTACAGAGATGATTTCCAACATACTGTCTTGTGTTGCATTGATTCCCCCTTGTCCTTTCTTTCACCATTCTGTTGTTTCCCTTCCCTTCCCTAATTCAGCTAAACATTTCTAGGGTACCAAAATCATGTACAGTGACAAAGGGGATACCAATAGAGGAAAGAATATACAAAAGATGCATGAAATAACATAGTACATTAAAAAACAATAACAACAACAAAGAAAAAGCTCTTCTTCTCATATCTTGGAGAACATTTTACTTAGCATCATCTTATATGGTCATATGAACATAGCTACTGAGCTATTCTGCTCATCTGCTAAGATTTTCCTAGACATATACTAATTATTGTAAATAAAGGATATCAAGGACCCTATGTTTATTTGGGTCTGGCTTACTTCACTTAATATGATTTTTTCCAAGTCTTTCCATTTCCTTACAACTGGGGTGGTATTTATGCTTCCATCAGTCTTTTTTATTCAACATGTTTTCACTCAATGACTATCACATGTATTGATAAGGTAACAGTTGGGTTACTGTAATATCTTTTTTTTTAATTGTGAAAATACCATACAGAGGGGTTACAATTACATGGACAAGATAACGAGTACATTTCTTATCAAGCATTGCTGCCTCTTCTTTGTTTCTGCTTACCATCCCTTCCCGTCTCCCCCGCTACTGCGCCACCCCCGCACCCTGGGCCAAAGTTGTAAAGTTCGTTTTTCAACATAAGGTTTTGTACATCTTATTGTTGCAATGAGTCCACCTGTATCCCTTTTTAAACGATTTGTTTTCTTCCCTTCCCCTTCACAAATTATACCAACATCAAATATAGTGAAAAGAGGGGTTATACCCTGGGGAAGGGACATACAAAGCAACAAAGAAATCATCTTACAAATATGTTAGTAACAATAGCAAGAAACAAAAAAA